ACCTTGAAGCCCTCCAAAACCGGGCTGCTAGGATAGTGGCTTGTACTGTGCGCAGCAAGCAGGCATTGGACGTTCTGAAATGGCCCACCTTGGAGGAGCGCCGACGTCAATCTGTTTTTAAACTCGTTAAGAAATGCCTGCAAGGTCAATGTCCCCAGTATTTTAAACATTATTTTAAACGTAATAATACAATCCATGCGCGTGCTACTAGACAAAGCAACCTCTTACATCCGCCTGCAGTGAGAACTGAAATTGCAAAAAGATATTTCTATTATTATGGTTGCACTCTTTTTAACGAATTATCTTAATGATATTTCGTGTTTTACATCTTTTAATCTTTCAATTGAAAATAGTTTTCTATTTATATTATTACCTGTATTAGTGTAATGTTTATATGTTTAGTGTGTTTTTGTGCGTTGTTGCTCAGGGCTCCCATTGATAACAGACAGCTTTTTGTGCCTGAAGGGGCTACCCTGAGCGGTATAAATTAATAAAGGTTCTTCTTCTTCTTCTTCATTACAGGCGTTAGAATGGAAAGCTTGCATGTAGCACCCAAGTGCTACATGCAAGACGAAGTTTCATTCGACGTATTGTTGTCTACTCCCTACTCTTTGCTTGTGTTTCATCCAAGGACAAAATATAAATCGACGAAGAAATAAAGTGCGTTACTGACCAGAGAAATCCATCTACATGGTTATCATTCCTCTGTGCCAGCTCCAATGCTTGGTTGCACTGTGAACAATTAAGTGGATCAGGAAGTAAGTAACACCTTTGTAGCCACTCGATCAGCAAAGATCGCAGTCCTCGCTCTAAGTTGATGATTTCGTTTAAATTCAGGTTCTTGGTCTCCAAGAAGTTCCTCGCTGAGAGATTAACCCGTTTGCTAAACTAAGATCGCACTTATGTCCTTTGATATCTGCCAATGGAACCAGTTATGCACCTTAATCAATGAATAATAAGGAATTTAAAAAAAGAGACTTCTTGTGTTACCTCGTCTAGGCACAATTCCCCAAAGAGACTTTATCGTGTTGGATTAATTTAAATTATTATGGTTTATGTATAAGAAACTACAGCCGCCTTCAGTTTCTTCACTCTTTTCTCCCTTTGCAACTTTCTCTCCGTGCACAGAGTGTTGTAGTCTGCAATACTCTGTTAAGAGTGAAGACTCATTGGGTAAATAAATAATATATATGTTTGGTGCAGTGTGGGTCTATTGATAATTTGTGTGGATTTCGGCTAACTCAGATTAACCCATTAATCTCGCTCCTGGAGATTTTGCTGAAAAACGCGTTTTGAAGCTAGTCAAGTGGTTTTCTGGTCACTGTCGTGCTATAAAGAGCTAAAACTTACCACAAACCGGTTTACAGGTCGTACACTTCGCGGCCCTCTGATCCAGATGCAAAACATCAGCTTGCGAAGTTCGGGCATGTGCAGAAAGCGAAATTTCGAGATTTTTGGGTTTAAAAGTGACACAGTAGTCTTGACTTTTACTTTTTGCTTTTTCTCCTCCCTTCTTTTTCCGCTTTTCTTGCCTCATTTTTTTTTCTCTTGCTGGGCATTTAGTAGGCTTCATTTTGGTGGGAAGAGTTTTTAGGAAAGCTTTAAGAATCTTAGGATTAGGTGAAAGGAAAGGTAGGTGGGCAATGGAACAAGATTTTCATGGAGATTTTCGGGTCAATGTCACGTGGTTTTTTGCTTCTTTTTCCAGTGTCCTTGACTGAATTGTGCTCATTCTGGTATGGTTTGAAACTAGAGAAGTGAGATGTGTTCAATCGCTTCTTTCAACAGGAACTGGCAATTTTGACTACTGCAGTGTTTCCCATCTTTCCTGGACCTAGCGCACGGGCGGTTACGGGCGGTTCAGGGGCGAATGGGTTAAACAAAACTTTAGACTATGGAAAGAAAAAGCGAATTCATAATACTAAGATGGTTAGTGTAAAGAATTACACATTTAGAAAAAGCTCGATGGTCAATGCAGCGAAGGCAGCGATCATTGGAGGGTGGCAGTTATTCGGGAGCGGCATTTATTGAACTTTTTGCTATTGGTGAATAACACAGCAATGCAAAATCTTTCTCAAATTGATTCCTTTCCCTGGTTTTGCATTGTCTTGTCCATAACGATATTAAAAATATGCCCAAGTTATTACGTTATAGTTTCTAACAAGGTCTTAACGCAACATGCCCAAAAACATTTTATTCATAACACGTCCAAATTTGTGTAACTTGTGTGGCATCTGTCAGTGAGCCGGAGTACCAATCAAACAAATCCATCATTTCGCCGCTAGTGCTTATAGCACTAAAATCGGTAAAAATTTTCCCCTGAATCGTTTAACAAAGCTTGGTGTATCAGGCTTGTAGCAGGGTAGCATGAGGAGAGCAAGCGGGAGGGGCAGGTGGGAGGGGGGGGGGCTGAAGGGAGCCCCACTATTTTACCAAAAAGGTTGAATTAAAACAACTTCATATGTAAAACAATCAGTCTTTGACTTCTGCCTTCAATTGCAAAGTTCTAGAAAGTGGAAAAACATTTACATCATACATAAAATGTGAAATTCAGTTGGAACTTTTACTTCAGTCATACAGGTACAGCTAAGAAAGATACCTAAAAGTGTGACAAACGTCAGGTGTACAGTTGATGTTTTAGTAGACCTATGGCTTGGTGTTGTCGTTGTCGACCTGACATCTTACACTATCAAAAGTTGATTTTTCAGCAGAAAGGATAGTTTGCCAGGCCAAGGTTTTCGGGCACTAGTTAATTTACCCTTGCTACGGGCTTGCATATGCAGAGCAACCAGAAGGAGGCACTGTCCATTAATTGATTCGCATGGAGTTTGTATAACTCTACTTTGAATGCAACTTTCTTTTGATGCAGAGTGGTTTGTGTAGCAATGATCAGTACCTCGCAACGACCGAACCTACCTGTTTTTGGAATGGTAGCCAGTATTGTCATGATGACGTCATCTACATCACTAAGTAAGATATTTTTGGTTTAAAATCTCCAGGGGCCCGTTTCTCGAAGCTCCCAGTAATTTGTTTTTCATTCCAGATGGGAGTTTCAAAAGTGTTGAAAATTATACAGTAAAGTTATCAGCTCAAGAAACAAAATAGACTTCATTAGAGGTCAGAAAACACCCTACTTTTCTTGAGATTTTGATTTCAAAATATGGTGTTTGGCCTGTTACGTTACCAGGCCTTTCAAGAAACAGCCCCCAGGACTCAAACCGGGATAGCAGTTTAATCTTGAATGCACCGATTGCCAGTCTAAATTTTGAGTCTTAGCGGCCGCAAAGCAGGAAATCTGGAAATTGGGTGGGATTGCATAGATTACACTGAAGGAAAGATAAATGTTGTTCACGTGATAACACTTTTATTAACTGAAAACTCGCATGATGCAATAAATAAGTTAATAGTAATTATTTGAACAAGAACTTAGAAAATAATATGACATTGACCTAGCAAACATAAGGAAACATGCTGATAAGCAAATGTGGCATAAAAGTCATTACCATTTCGTAGTTGTCGTATTGCATTTTTTTACATGATTTTCAGTCATTATGACCATGACTTTAAAAATTTAAATTGTAAAAACTATTTGGAAAAAAATACACAAAGGTAACTAAGCAATTTTAGGGAGTCGTTTCATTGTAACTGTAGCTTGTAATAATGAATTTTACTTTTAATTCATCGTTGTTTAACCAAGCGATTTTAAATTTGTCTCCATTGGCCTTCACCATTTCCCCTTCCTCTAAGTCTGTGGTGGGCAGAGTCACAGCTTTGCTTTCATTGCCATTTAACAGAACCACCCTGCGAGAAAGAAACAGTGAGTGATGTTAATTTAATTAATTAATATTAATTTTTAGTATTATTCTGTGTGAATCAAATAAACTACAAATTAGACTAGTAAGGGAGTTTAGTCAGAAAATCGACCTGTTCCTCAGCTTAATTTTCTAACCTGATCTTTGCAGTCGCCGGGTGTACTGCTGACTGCAGTTGGAGGTACCTGTGTCTTTCAGGAGAGACAAAGCAGGGACTGGCAATGGTTGAGTTGGTGTACAAGTTGAACTTGTCGACCTCCCATCTAAATGAGATAGTGTTCCCCTCCTGCAGTGTTATAGTGTTATAGCGGGTGTTGTAGCGTAGCTCTGTTTAAAGAGAATAGGAAAACAGCTTGCAAATACAGATTAGTTGCCATTTATCATTGGTAAAGGCCCTTATTGACATAAGACAATTTCAAAGATGGTATTGTGCAATTGCTTACACTAAAATTACAAATCGCAATGTATAATACTCCTTAACCAAAGATGCATAAACTTTAAGTGCCAATTGATGAAAACTAACCTTATGGTACAGAATTCTACGCAGCCACTCCACCTCTCCAGCCTGAAGTATCATGTGGCTGGACGCCGCTGTTGCCATGTGGTCTTCAAAGTCCTTTCGTCGGAAGACTGCATGGCGGCCTCTGACAGTGCGCTGCACTGCCTTCTTGCCACATTGGCCGAGATGAGATTAACATGGCATTTGCAAGTATAATAAAATACAACTTCTTCAACTTGTTCTCAAGTCCACAGAGTAGATGTTTTAACGAGTGGCATACGGCACTGGTGCGATAAGTGCTAAATCTGATCAAGAATAGTACTGGAATTACGCCAATTTACTGAGAGGTACCATTCTCCAATTTAGCACTAAAGATTTTGTCAGTTTGTAGATCCACAAGCGGCCCAAACTCATTACATGAATGCGGACATGACTCTTGCTTGTGAGCGGTGTTGTGTTACTAATGGTTATTTACAAAGGCTTGTATGGGATGTAAACGGTTTTTCTTCAAAAAGAGAAAAAATGTTATGTTTTTAAATAAAATCGACTTACCTTATTGCTTTGTTGTATTCTTTGTTGTTTGCCCGCATCTCAGGCCGTTTTGAAGCGTTTTCGGCGAGTTAGCGCTATTTTGGTGTTCCACTGCTAAAAGAAAGACAAGGCAGAACAGTGACTGACAGAGTGTCCGTCACTCGAGGCAAATAATTCCGCTGGAAAATTACCCCCTACCTCAATTCCTCCAGAAATTCAAAGCAGAGATGCTGCAGTTCAATGTCCATCCACTTGATTCACAATTCCTCCCATGGATCGTTCACTAGCAATGCTTTTATCTCTTGCCCAATTTCAAACTAGAGAAATCATTTATTAACGATGGTTAATTAACCGGTTTTAGAGGTATCGAATGTCTCTTATAATTGACTGTGCGGACTGCAAGGACATCTTTTGTAAGATCCGGAGACGAGGCGTAAGCTCTTATTTTCCACATCGATTTGTTCTCCTAGCTCTTTTCTCAGAATGGCATGCTCCGCAGGCGCCCGTTCAAAACGTCAATCCAAGAAAGCATATGATCCTGAGTTTCACTACGATTTTCCTCCGAGCTCATTGTTTCACGAGGACTTTGATCTTGAGGAAAAAGGCGATACACTTCAGCACGTTCAGGCAGGAAAGCAGTCCAAAACCTCAAAATCCAAACAAGCTACGGTTTCTGCCGCCTCTCCGCCGCCAATCTCTCCAGAGGATTCAGCATCCTATCTCACTTACGATCAACAGCTTCAGCTGATCCAGCTTCAAAAAGAAAAGCTTGAGTTGGAAGTGAAAGTTCTCAGTTTGAGCCACTGGGAACGCCCCCAAGAACACACGCTTGAAGGTTTCACCAACGAAGGCAACAAGCCAGCCGCGCAAGAGATCAAAAGACTGGCCTCACGATTTCGTCCCAAGCATTCAAGGTGAGTGTGATAAACTAAATCTCTCCGAGTTTGTTTCAGGCTTTTTAATCATGATCAAGACCTATGATGCGAAGCTGAAAGAGGCTTTCTTGGCGCACCTCACGCTTTTAATGATTAAAGCTATTAGTTATTCATGGTCCAGCGTGCGGGCCTTTCATAAGTTTGTTGCGAAGCAAGTAGAGCAACGACGTTTAGAATGGCATGATGCTAAAGCAATTGACGATCAGGCAGCGACCTTTTTTCGCCATTCTGACCTTCGATCATCGTCACCTTACGAGAATTCGCACAATAACTCTTGGCCTTCCAGCAGTATTACTCCACTGAACAACCAGCAGGCGGTTAAGCCCGGCACGGGTTCCAATGTCAAGGCGTGTAAGTCGTGGAATTATATGGCCACTTGCGACTGTGACAAACAGGACAGCGCGGCTTATAGCGAACATCATCGTTGTCGTGTTTGTAAGGCTGATCATCCCATGTTGCATTGTCCCAAGCGCCGCACTCCAATTCCGGCACAGTGACTATTAGCATCACAAGACCGCAATCCATTGACCTCTTTGACCCGGAACAGACACAAACATGAATCTGTCAACAATGCAGCTGTTGTACGATATTTAATTGCTTCATATTATCATCAACCAAATGCCTTTGGCGCTAAGGTTTTAGTTCCCACATCACTTTTACTTGCGAACTGGAAAACATTCCTCTCTAATTATCACGATAACATTGTGGTCGATTTCCTCACCTATGGCTGGCCGATAAACTACACTGCCTTTACAAGTCCCGTCTCTTTTTTCAGTTTTCTCAGGTTCGGGTTTAGCACCCATCACTTACAAGCAATTTTGCGTTTTTCTTTCTAGGGTCTTGTCTAAGCTCCAGTTAGATCTGTCGCTTTATTCCCCACATAGTTTCTGCCGGGGCGGGGCAACCTTCGCATTTGATTGAAATATACCTCCCAAGATAATCAAATTGCAGGGAGATTGGAAAAGCGACACTTATCTCATTTATTTAGAATTGTCCCGGCAACAAAAACAACGTGCGGTTCACACTATAGCAAATAAGCTCCAGTCTATGTTTCCTGCATAAGTTGCATCATCTATCTCACATTAGTTTTCTATCATGCATTAGTCTTTTATTTCTTTCTTTCAACCCACTACCACTTTCATCACCCCAGTTTGAGCACTTTGGCGTTTAGGTTTATTGTCAAGCTATCGATCAGCAGTTTCCGCTTGGCTCAATAAACTTATCTTTGCCCAAACTCGCGTGTCGTCTTGGTAACGTGGGTTGATTGAGAAATCATTTATTAATGATGGTTAATTAACCGGTTATAGAGGTATCGAATGTCTCTTATAATCGACTGTGCGGACTGCAAGGACATCTTTTGTAAGATCCAGAGACGAGGCGGAAGCTCTTACCCACCTCTCCCTCCCTAATCTCTTATAATCTTCGTGAAGTCCATAATCATATTGTAGTCTTAGCGTTTTTCAGTTCAGTTGCGTTTAGGTTTATTGTCAAGCTATCGATCAGCAGTTTCCGCTTGGCTCAATAAACTTATTTTTGCCCAAACTTGCGTGTCGTCTTGGTAACGTGGGTTGATTGGCTCGTCCAAACTGCCGTGGACCCGTTCACCGATCATATAGTATGTCGGGTAACTAAAATAAGCCCGGCGAGGGTAGCCAGCGGTCTGCAGTCGACAAACAAACCCGTTAGTTCCCTTGGTCCTCTCGAGAGGGTTTGTCCAGACCGCATTGTTTATATTGACCAATCAAATCGACTGGAAATGTGTTTACAAATTAAAAAATAAAAATCGATTTTAATTTGCTTCATGAATTGTGAGTGAATATAGAATCTTCCTTGCTGTTTTGATCGCCGAATTCGCGGAAGTGTTCTTTTTTTTCTTCCTGACCACTTTAAAGTGATGACTTCATCGCTGAAATGGAAGGCATGGGATAAATTACTACAAGTTAAACGAATTATCTTATGAGTCTTCTGTCTGACCATATTTTTGTAGGTTGCTAGCGAGCTTTGAACACTGTGGGGGAGGTCTGTTAGGAGTCAACTATATCATTTCTGCTGAAAACAAGTAAAAGAAAATTTTGCCTGCCCTCCCAACTCGTCATTATTCGGCCTCTTGATAAAGCAAATCTGGGGAGGTGGAGTAAAGCTAGTAAAAGGGGCTCGCACAAAGTGGGTGAATTGTGAATTGTGAATGAAACTTCCCTTCGATAAAATAGGCAAGTAAGCGGAGAAATTGACACGCTGCGACGATTGAAATGAATAATTATATTATAAAATAATATATATGAGGAGTGATCATGAAGTTCGATTTTGTTTGGACTCAAGGCGTTGGAATTGTCTAGCTGAGTTACGGTAGATGTTTTGAGCTCTCGCACCTCGGCCACTCGTGTCCTTTTGTTCTGATTTCAGATCGCCCTTTCTCATGCCAACGCCAAACATCGTTGAATACTGATTTGCACAGTATGCAAATCACAGCCGTGAAATTGACACGTTGCGATGATCGAGAGGTGAAGTTCGAATTCTGTTTTGACCTGGGACGATTGAATTTTCTACCAGTGCTGTAGACGTTTCAGCTCTTAGCCACTGAAGATTTTGTTATTACCACCCCTCCACTGGTTATCTAAATTAAAGCCGTTCAGCTCCTTGTTCGGGAAGTGTTGAAAATAATTATACAAGAGCATTGTAAAGCGTTGAAAGTGTTGAAAAGCGTTGAAAATCATGAAGAACAGTTAAAAACCTTTAAGTGTTGAAAAAAGTAAAGCCAGCAGGCAACCCGTTAAAAGCGTTATGAAAAGGCGTTGGAAAAATCATCACAAACTGTTTGGAAAAAGTTACAAGCCGTTGAAAGTTTTTGCGCACCCGTTGAAAGCATTGAGAAAGCCCTTAAAGCGGTTGGAGAAACCGTTAGCTACCCATTGGTTACCCATTGGTTTTTGCCCGTTTAACACAAAACCGTTAGTGTACGTTTTTTTTGAGGTCACATTTGTTCAAACTGGACTGCCTTAAAAACAAACACGGCAGCACAGAATTGATCTTGTCCATTGTTAATAGCTCCCCATTATGTTGTGGCATTACAGTTACAGAGGTACTCCATACTACACTTCCCCATGAAAGTGGCTATTACTCTGATTTGACAAGTTCAGCCAAAAATTCGGAATGGAAGGCATTGTCTGCAAATTGTTTCATAATCTCCAGTGTAGGGGAGTGTTGTTCCAATTGCAAAAAACTGCATCATTTGGTTCACAAATGTAGCCAGAGTAGCCAGCCCCTTTACAAACAAGCACTTCCTCTCCAAAGATGAAGTAGAGAAGCAAGTTCAAAAAGAGAGGCAAGCACGGCTAAATGCAGAAAAAAGGGAAAAGTATTGGAGGGAAAAGTTTGAGGCTGAGTGCCTGGAGAAGGATGATGAAGACCATACAGATCTGTCTGCAATGTTCGATAAAGCTGGAAGTAACGTAACTGAAGACATGGCAAGCCCTGGGAACAACTGCCACAACTCTTGCGATGCAAAAGTAAAAAGGCATATTGCTGGCATCCGAGGTAAGCGATGTAAATTGTTCACTTATAGATAATAAAAACATAATGAGCACTGTGTCCATTCCCTACTAAACTCACCTCCCCCCCTCCCTTAACACCCCAAAAAGCAACTTCAAAAATCTGTTTATTTTGGAGGACGCTTCAAAATTATTAATTCCCCACATCGTAGATCAGTTCGTGGGTTTTGTCATTTGCACTCTTCAGCATTGCGTAATAGCTTTATTGATCTCACTGCATGTTCAGCACGCGATTTATTGTTACATGTAGTTTAACCTGTGCTGCAGGTGTATTGTACACTTATCTCGAATTATCATCTTGCAAGTTTTTGCTCAAACGTGTTCTTGATCCGTTTGTACATTTCCTTTACCCATCCCTCCCACCCAGATGGTGGGCAGAGAGCTTTATTTCTTCGGGTGTTTTATCGGGTTTTCGCTTTACTTGAAATAAATCTCTCTTTATGCCAAATAAATGGTGTGTCCTATTTTATTGGTTGTTAGTTTGCTTAGATATCCCCGGGGAATTAACATATTATTTGTATTACAATAGTTCATTCACATTCATTTATAGGGTCATGATATTATGCCTGGATCTTTACTGCAAGAGCCCGCGTGTACTAGATCTCCTTTCGACAGTTCATAATACTCCCTAGCAATAAAACAATAAGGTAAGGAAAAATATACTAGTACTTCATTTATCTGACATGACTTATAGTTATTGGTAAAAGTATTTATTAATAAATTATTGATAAGAATAATTTCTTCCTGGTGTCTTCATTATTCCCCTTTCCAGTGATGTGTAATAAAACAGCAACATTGAGATCTATAATAATTGGTCTATATTTACATAATTTATAAGAGCAAAGTTAAAGAGAAGCCAGGGTTGAATGATGAAATCCTTAGATGGTGCCTAAATGCTGCTGAAGAAAGTGGTCTGAAGCCAGGAGATTACTGGGGTGGATTTGCCATTGATGAGATGAAGATTCAGGTGAATTTTAGCTTAATAAGCATTGGTTAGAACAGCACATCAGACATACCATAAACAAATAAACGGACGTTCATAATGAATAATAAATTGATCAAGCTAATCCAAAACTTGCAGTGTATACTTTTTAGTGAAATCAGATATTTTCCGCCATCACTATTTTTTGATAGGCATACATTCCACAACAGAAACATATTTAACTAGACCAATACAAAGTCAATTGACTGTGTGTGTGTGTTTTTTTGTTTTTTTGAAAAAACTAGTTCAATATTTTCATTTCCAAAGTAGATTGCCTACTTACACAGCATCAATGCTGGTTATCCCATTTAACTTATGGGAGAACCTAGAGATGACCTCTGTAGGTGGGAAACACAAGCTTGTAGCCTTCGTTGACTTAGGAAAGGGTTGATGAGGAGTCTGTCAGGTTTGCCTTATCAATAACTTGTATGTCCTCTGCAACATCTGAACAACTAACATTATTTTTGTGCCAGAAACTTATACCTATAGTCAACTCTCTCTTAGATGGACAAAGTTTGGACCGGCCACAACTATCTGTCTTAGGTAGGTTTCCATCTTATAGAGGTGTCCATTAAGAGATAGTTGACTGTATATATAAGGCTGTGATAATTCCATTTGTGGCTGCTTAAGTTTATGGGTAAATTTTTTTCTAGGGGAAAATTTGTCTAATTTTTAATGCATTCAACTGCACCATTAAAAAACTCAAGTTGGACTTTACTGCAAATATATTAGCCATATTCATGTTCTGTTACTTTGTAGAACTGAGTATTATTAAATATATTTAATATTAAAAGACATGTTCAAAACTTTAACATTATTTGCAGGTCAAGGCAATGATCTAGAACTAGCAACACGTGCTACAATTTGTCTTTCTGAGTGATGGTGGCTTCAGCTTCCCAATAGCTCAATGGCCGTTAGCAAACTGTTCTGGGAGGGGGTCCTGAAGATGTCAAAAATTGGATTTGAGTGAGTAAATTGATTAGTTTATTTTTCAACTACGCGTATACTGGTACAATTCAAGGCACCAATAGGTATATACAGCTAGACAATATACTTACATTGCTTCATTGCATGGCTGGTCAGTTCATCATTCGAATTCAAGTCATACCTGACAAAAAGGAAAAAGGAATAAGACAAGATAACAAAAAATGTCAAGAACAATAGAACGTGTAAGCCACTAGAACTAATAGTGTATCCTTAATAACTCAGTATCAATTTATTGATATTCGTTTCTAATGTAAAGGATATACTGGTGTGTATTGGATGGTGCAGATTGTAATAGGCAATTCATTAAATTGCATTTCAAGAACAATGACCCTGCTGAAAGCAAGTTTGTCACCACCACCATTTACACTGGGGGTCCAATGATATTTGTAATGGATCCAAAGGTAAAAATCTTTTTCTGTTTATTCAAATTGCCCCTCACCTAGAGTGTTCATAGAGGGCATTCATATGAGGCGTATAATTGAGGGGCTGGAAAATGGAAACACCAGCATTACATCTATTGTTTCATTGTACATGTAATCAGTTACTGCTCTAGACGAATTTATTAGGATGAATAGTCAATACAAAGTAATATCTGCATGATAATGAGTTTGAAACAAAAAAAAAATTAAAATGTAACTGAAAAAAAAAATTAACTGCAACACATAATTACTTTCCATTAATTTTTATATGGTCCTGGACTTACATAATTTTCGGTGTATCAAGTAATTGTTTTAATCAATGTAACATTGTGTGATATACCAATTCATACTAACACAAACAAATTAGTTTCATAATAAATTTCCAAACTGAAAATTATTATCTTTTCAACAGCATAACATCAAAAAAATTAGGAACAATATCAAAAAAAGTAACAAAAATGGCAAGCCTCAAGATTGGTGGGAAATGTATCACCTGGAGCCACTTCAGAGAAACTTTTAACTGGGACCAGCAGAGCTGCAGCCTCCCACTACATGAGAAGCTAACTGTTGAGCACCTTGACCTTGATTCAGCAAGCATTATGACAAACAAGCTTGCAGAAGATGTGCTGGATTCCAAGACGCTTTTTTTGATACAGGTGAATAATATTTTAATCCTCTGCATTTGAAATAATTTTCTTTTTATTATAAATAAGCTTATAAATATCTGTCAGGTAACCTACGCTTTATGCAAATACATGTGCAATCAATGGATCAACCTCAACCAAATTGATGTTTCAGATTATTTTTGTTACTGTATATTCATTCATCATTACAACATAATTCTTGAGCTCATCTCTATTTTATATCTACTTGTGTTGCAGAAGTACCAAGAACACAACTCCAATGATGCTAGTGCACTAGATGCAGTAATTGAGCAGTTGCATCACACAAGTGAGCTTGTTAGCCTATTCAATGATAAGCTTTTTATCGCTTCACCAGATGATGCAAGACTGAATAAGCTGAAAAGCTTCTATAACTGGATGCGCACTGGGCCAATGAAAGTCAAGGTCGTAACAGCCACTTCATCTCCAGCAAAATTTGGTTCAACTTGCAGTCTATGTGCCTTGGTTTCCAGTCTCTGGTTCATTATAATTTTAGTAAATTTCCAAGTTCAGTGATCAAGCCTGCAATAGTAAACCACGACTGTGTGGAGAATCATTTCTGCCAGATACGTTCTTGCAATGGGCAAAATGACAATCCCACGTTTTTACAGCGGTAGTCAACCCAGAATTCTTTTAGGCTAGGGCATACAACAATCAGCTCAAGCAACACATCCTGTAACAGCACTTGCATACGCAAGAGGCCATCAATTGAAGGAATGCAAGAAAAAAGGCTGTGAAGTTATTATTAATTTTTGTCTAAGTGATTGGTCACCTAACAGGTTTAGCTATTTTATTTTCCACTTTCGGAGAGAGTGTCATGCATTCAAGTGTTAGCATCTGTTAGGAACGTTTTCTATTGTACTATTATTGCCAATACCTCTTGAGATCCTTATCCTGCTGTGTCCATCTAATTCTGTGCTTTCTGCTACCCGCAATATTCTGTCACCCACTGAAGAAATTAATGGGACATACATATACTGTCCAATAGCATTTGACAGGGCTTCTGCAAGAACTGACTTTGACGACCTTGCAGAAACTCTCAAATCATATGCTTCACAAAGGGAAATCAACTGCGCTCTGCTGTAACCTCACACCAGTGGAGCAGTACTTTGGTGCTGATTTAAGAACGCAACAAGACAACCATGAGACACTTCCTTGTTGTCACTTCGGTCCTTGAGAATTTCCTAAAAAAAGAGCCAATTATTTTAAATAAAAACTCTGTTCTTACTAAAAGCTATTAGCTTGTTATATTGATATGGTTTAAACTAAAGATTGTAATGCATCAGGAAAGGTATTCACTAGCATGTCTCACACAGTTACCACAAAGTTTTCCTCTTTATGGTTACAGGGTTTGCATGTAATGATTACATATAAGCACTTATTAGTCTGTTTATTCTGTAAATATATTTTTTAAAAGCATCACATTTGAAAAGGGCAAGAACTAGATGCAATGTTATCATTGTGCGCAATTTTAAAATAACTGGTGTTTTTAATAGTACATATTTGCCATTTGCAGTTATAGGTTATGAAATTTGTGCTGAATTACGCAACCTACGAGACGAAGTTAAAGCTGAACGAAATGGCGGCCATGCCAGTTCATCTGAAGGCACCGATGAGGGAAACACTACGGCAACTCCGAACAGCATCCAAGAACACTTTAAGAAATATGTTAACGACAGGATGTCTCTTATTGAAAAATCTTTGGAACGCTTGTCATCTCAAGCGGATAAAATATCATCTTCATTGGATCAAGCATTGGAATATTCGTATTCATACAACATCAAGCTTGTGGGCGTTCCTGAAGTTAAGCAACGAGAAAGCGCCGGAGATACGCTGGAACTTTGCATGAGAATCTTCAACAAAATTGGAGCTGAAATTCATCCTTATGACCTTGACATTGCCCATCGAGTGCCATCTCGTAACACGTCTGATGGTCGACCGAAACCGATTATTTGTAAATTTACTCGGCGCATCGCCCGTGAAAGTGTTATGGCAGCCCGTAGAGAAGTAAACAGGATCGTTCCTGCTGATATTGGTCTCCGAGAAAGCTCATCTTTAGAACATGCTGCTATCTACGATCACCTCTCCCCACGACTGCAGAGTTTATTATCTGACGCCAAGAAAATAAAGGAAAGATTTCTCTTCTCATTTTGTTGGGCCAAGAACTCAACCATCTGGCTGCAGAAAAATGAAGCCTCTCGTCCGATCCCCATTAAAAATTCAACCGACTTGTCCAGTCTCACAGCTCGCCTAGGATCTTCTGGTGATGTTACTACTCCATAAGAACATTAACAAACAATCTACTAAGGTAAAAAAAACACTCCTAAGCGAGCTTCCATATTTCAATTACAGCGATCTAATTTCCGCACATGGCCAATTTATTAATTCTCTTAGTTCCTCTCTTCCTACCAAAAAATATCTTGATCGTCTCCCAAGTTATTACGACCGTGATTTATTTACTCTGAATACATATTTAGATAGAAGCCCCGACTCCAACACTTATTACTCTAATACAAGATGTAAATACTTCTCTCCACATAGTTTTTGTCAGTTGCCGTCTTAATGTATGACGTCTCAAATAACACATCGCCACCTCAAATAAGTAATTTATTTAATTACCAACATAATATTCATTCACATAACACAAGATCATCAACAAGAGGCAACTTCTTTCTCAAATACTCTAGATTAGACAAGCTAAACATGTCTTTTTCAAGAAACGGTGTTAGAGTCTGGAATAACCTATCTAATGAAATTCGTCAAATGCCTGAAGTGAAATTTAAACGCAACATTCACAATATGCTCCTTCAAAAACTCTTGGAGGCGAATGAGTATATTGATCTATTGGATTTGAATATGTCTTGAAAACTAAACTCAGTTCATTCTATTAGCTTTCTATCTACATTATCCTTCCAGCTTCCCATGTAATCTGCCTTATTTCTCCTGAGAATCTTGGTTATTAATACTAGTCAGTATTCAGTATTCACCTTATTTTAATGTATTGTACGATAATAATTAATTTTACTTAGTATTGTAATCGTATTGTGTTGTAATTGTAATTATTCACTTTGTATTTAGTATTCAGCTTATTTTAATGTATTGTGCGATAATAATTAATTCTATTTAGTATTGTTATTGTATTGTAATTGTATTGTAATTGTAATTATTCACTTTGTATTTAGTATTCAGCTTATTTTAATGTATTGTACGATAATAATTAATTCTACTTAGTATTTTAATTGTATTGTTATTGTAATTATTCTACTTGGTGTAAAGCCACTGCTCGCCTCGAATAGCTATAGCTAACTGCGAGCAGTGGTACATCATACTTTGTATTTTCTCAATTTTTCTTAATAAACTTGAAACTTGAAACTTGAGTGGTTATTGGATGGGGGAGGGGGGGAGTGCTAGGGTATTTTGCAAAAAAATGTATGCGTAGCACTTTGTTCTAACACTGCAGGTAAGGTCCTTTTTAGGGAGCAAAGATATTCCTCTGATTCCAAGCTACAAAGACTCAACCTTATATCTGCGAGCACTTTTAGAAAACGCCGGTCCTTTTCGGACAAGCGCATTGATTTAGTAAGAGCAAAATGATGGCTTATCGCAAAATCAAATAAGGGAGATTCAAACATGTAGCATCCATCGTCAAACATGTTAGCTACCGGCTGTAGCTGTAAAAATTCCCCAACCAGGATGATCTGTTTTCCTGCAAATGGAAGGGTGTGATTTATTGGGCTGTCTGTCAGCTCGTGGTGCATAAAGTTCACAAGCTCAAACATCCTTTGGCTGGACATGCCATGCTTTTGGCTGGACATCTACGGCCTTGACACGATCGCAAACTGAAGAACTGCTGACCGATCTGTCGATCAGTTAATGCCATGGTAAATCAGCAGTCATAAGACCGTAGAACGAGTGAACGGTTGATGCTTCCCCGTGATCATACACTTGGCAAGCTATGCCACTGCAGCAGACGATACCGACATTCCTTCCACGAGCATTTATGGTTACCATTATCCGCTTGACAACTTCTGATTTCCCCACTCCTGCTTGTCCCATAATAAAAAGGTTGTGGCCTTCAGCGGCAAAATCAACGATTCTTTGCTGATAGCCATTTAGTTGAATCCTGAAAACCGCCAAGAAATCATTACACAACTTTCAAAACGCGCAACTTCTGTGTCCAGATCACTGACCATAGTCCGCCTTTCAGGAATGATAAAATAAATGACAACATAACATACTTACATTGTTACGCAGAGGATATTTTGTCACAGATTTCATACATATTCATATGATTGACTTTTGTAGTTTTCGTTGTATCATATTTGCGTCCCTTCAATCTCACCACACCACACCACGCTTTGAACATGTCAGCCATGGAATAGCAGCAAACCGTTGAACGTATCATCCATTACAGTAAGCATGCTTTCAAGAGGACATTTATCTATTTAGAGTGACCTTTATCAAAAGCAACCTCTGGAAAAAAATGGAATCACTGAAGGCTAGTGGAAGGTGTGCGGAAATCTCATTCACGCGAAACCACTCTGATGCGGCTATGGGGAGGTTGCTGCTTGCTAGCTTCCCTTCTTTGCTAGGCATCAGTCTCCAAAGGTGAGCCTCAAAATAGGTTTTACTTAAAGCCCTGGCTAAGCCATCAAACATTTTAGTGCAACATCGTGTTTGCTAAATGCAATGTTGGGTTGCTAAATGGAAAAACATTGTTTGACCAAACATCAGATGAAGTGAGTCCACAGAACAATTTGTGCGGATTACTTCTGGTTCATTTGGTTGCTTTTAACCGGCTATGCGCGCTTTGTGGGTTTGGGTGGCGAAATGTTGGACAAAAACGTTTGATCTAGAA